TCAGGTGGTCCCGGGGGGCACCACAGCCACAGAGGGAAGCACTGGGCCCCCGTGTAGCTCAGGCAGGCAGGCTGGCTCCAGAGAGGGGTGGGGGTGGGAGATGAAATCAGGCTCACCGCTTTTCTTGGGTGGAGCTGCTTTCCTGGGCTGCTGCCAGGCTGCCTGCAGGGCTTTCTGCAGAGCTGTAGAGCTGCACAGAGCCTGGTGCTTCACTCTGTGACTACAGGGGCAGCAAACTAAAACTCCTCAAAGGAGTTTTAGTTTGCTGTGCCCCAAGTCATTGAAAGTGCATTACGCCGCCAAATTTCCTACTGCAGCTGGAATTAATGCACAATACGCCGCTGAGGTGTGCAAACACTGACACCATTAAAGCAGTGCAAAAGCATTTAGCCCACTTTAAAGTATCATGCACACACGCCTCTTGTTACATCTACACACGGCCAGTCCCCCTCTCATTAAGACCTGTGTAAATCCAGAGTAACTCTGCTGTCTTCACAGTGTTTTTCTGCTGAGCTACTGCAGTAAAGGCCAGATGCATACTTTGAATGGTGTAAGCTCAGCCAAAATGGTGTAAGCTCAGCTATGTAGTACGTGCTGTTTGTACATTTAAATATACCTAAATCTGTTGTGATCATAATTTTATTTAAATTATAAAAGAATACAGTGCTGAGGATGGGGAGAGTCAAGGCCATAACTCCCAGCAGTAAAGATCTGAATAAATTCAGTGGAAGGTGGGAAGAGAAAAAAATAGGAAGATTTAGGATTTGACTAGTGAGGGGATAAAGAGCTAAGAATCTTACACCCCCTCTCACATGCCTTAGGTGAAGGGAAAGTGTTAGACTAAGTGCAATTCATTTCTCCATAGTAGGATACAGTACTTATTTCTCTACAAAAAGGACTTGTTCCAGAGAGCAAAAACATGTACAATAGGCTGATTTAAAAAAAAAATGTAATATACTTAGTGCAAATTTTATGAGTGGTTTCAGGAGAATATAAACAACCTTGAAAAGGTACATAGAGCATTTGTATTTCTTTTCCCACTTGCAATAATAGCAAGAGACTTTAGTGCTCCCATGGAACAGAGAACATACAAAAAGTCTTTGGCATTATTCTGCGTGTGACACAATGTGCTTCATCAGTTGGGTTCTGTTGAATGCCACAACATGCAGTGAAAAATCTCTCCAGGAAAACTATTCACCTTCTTCCAGTGCCATCATGTCACTTATTGATCACCTGTTAATCAATACAACCTGAAATATGAATTCTGCTTTCAGGCCCTATTTTGGGTGAGTGAAGCTTGAATGTAGATATTAGTAAACTATAAATACTTTGTGGGGGGGTTTCCCCAATATGGCCTGATCTATTAAATTCTAGAAAATTGCCTTTAAATAAAAGTTTTGTTAATATAGCATGAGATTTCTCACTTGTACACACACACACACACACATTCAGATTTCCTATAGCAACTACACTATATAACTTGTCTCTTTGGAGTATTCTGTGATATTTATTTGGTAATAGGTTTACTGCTTAGGAACAAAATCTGTGTTGGAGAAGACTGAGTGATTTTGTGGTGTTTCCTTTGTAATTAAAATATGGAGATCTATTCCCTTCATGGAAGAAGAGTTTTGCCACCTGCTTGAAAAATTTCAGGAGGTCTGCTAGCAATTAGCATTGTTCATTGTAGCTGTGTTGGTCTAAGGACACAGACAGACAAGGTTCTTTGGGTAGATGTGATATCTTTTATTAAACCAACCAAATAGTTGGAAAAATTGTTCTTTGCACACTCAAGTCAAGAATTACAATTGGTGCCCCCAGAAGAATAGTTTACACTCTCAGGTCTTCATGCTAATAATAGCATACATATGAACTGCTGAGCAGCACTGGCCACAGAAAAGCCCCATCACAAACCTATCCGAGTAGATGCAGTTGCTGAGAGAACTTCTTTTCAGATAACAGGTATTGTAGGGATCACTTGGGCTAGGGAGACAGTACACATAAACCAGTTTAAGTGATCAGAAACTGATTTAAA